AATGAAGACGATTCAGAAGATAAGTAGATGGCAGAAACAGACCGTATGCCACCCCTCTGCCACGCATGCCACCTGCCAGCCCAATCGGTCCCTGACCTGCAAACCTGCAGACAATAAAATAACAAACACCTTTTCTGCTGATTCTGACATCTAGACAGAATGACGAAGTGTCTCACAGATAAGAAATTGGCAAACTCCAGCAACTTATCTAGATCCTAGAAAAGTCCCTTCCATATGTGACAATTCCTCAGCCTGAGAAAAGATTTCCTTCCCCACTCCAGCCATTCATCCTTGACTCAAAAAATCTGACAATTGCATATAATCCTTTAGGGCAGAAAGTTCTATTTTCACTCTACTGAACCTCTGGAAATCCCTAGGTAAGGGGCTAAATTCAAACCCATTTAGATGGACTTTTGTATAAAGATTAGCAACCCCCTTTTTTATGACTACTTTTGACCTCTGTTTTACTGTCAACTAAACTTCACCTCTGCTTCAGACAATTTCCCTGTGTTTTGCAGGGGAAACCTGACTCAGATCTGAACAGAATTTCTTCTGAGAGGCAGAGAAAGAGTTAGAGCAGTGTTTCTCAACCTTGGCAACTTGAAGATGTCCGGACTTCAACTCCCAGAATTCCCCAGCCAGAATTCACTGGGGAATTCTGGGAGTTGAAGTCCGGACATCTTCAAGTTGCTAAGGTTGAGAAACACTGACTTAGAGAGACCAACTATTGCATAAGGTTAAACTAAAGATGGTTTGCAAGAACAGAAAGATACTTAAAAATGGTTTACAAAAGTTCCCGAAGAGATTTTGAAAGATTCCACAGGGAATAATAGCTCATGAGCGTTTGAAGATTAGCAGTGGTTTAAAAACCAATGGAGAGCAAATGAGTAAATATGAATAATTTAAAAAAATCAGGGATAGTGTTAAATGCCAGTTTTTACCCAAAACAGTGGTCTAGGTTGAATCTATGCCAGTGTTTCTCAACCTTGGCAACTTGAAGATGTCCGGACTTCAACTCCCAGAATTCCCCAGCCATCTTTTCTAGCTGCTGACATTTGAGTCTGGTGGAGGAATTCTGGGAGTTGGAGTCCATGCTTGTTCTAGTTCAGTGTTTCTCAACCTTGGCCACTTGAAGATGTCCGGGACTTCAACTCCCAGAATCCCCCAGCCAGCATTCGCTGGCTGGGGAATTCTGGGAGTTGAAGTCCGGACATCTTCAAGTGGCCAAGGTTGAGAAACACTGATATGCAAAGATGGCACTTGACTTGCCTTCAGCCTGCATGGTTAACCAAGTCATTTAAAGGGCCACAGATTTACATAGCCAGTTACGCAGGGTTATTATTATTGCTAATCTTGGTTAGGCTTTTAGCATCATAGCTTCCCGTGTGAAGCCACAACCTCTTTGGCTCATGGTCCAACATTTCGTTTGTCTGCAAACAAAAAGTTGTTATTAAGTGAAACGTGCACTTCGGGGAGTGCCCATCATCCCCAGTCCACCTGCGGACAATGGGCACTGGTGTCCTGCAAAGCACAAAGTATTAATTTTAATTCCTTAGTATTTAACGTCTGGTGTTTTCGTGTTTTAATCCTATAATTGAATAGGAAGGAAGGAAGGAAGGA